TTCCAGGACCCGTACGAACCCTGTGGTCAGCGGATACCTTGTTTTGATAGGGTGTCAATTGACCATAACACGGATGTCCAATATGAAAGCCAAGTTTCTGTTAAATTGCTATGTTATAAAAGAGTCTGAGAAATAGAAATCTAGGGCAGACTAATTACCCTGTATGACTGGATGTTGCTACAAAGGATCTCAAACCCATCCATCAAGAACATCTGTTTGTCCTTTGGCAAATTCTTCTTGGAAAACTTCTTTACATCTGAGATGCTTGCCAGAGGGACTGATGCCACAATTTCATAACTATGATCTACAATACATGACATTTATTTAAATTAGAAATAACATTAAATGATAAATGATTGAGAAACATATATTTAATCAATCAGTGACACAAGCTACTAAGAAGTTTTTTTGTCAAATGTGTACCAAAACAAACTATCATTTAACTGCCCTGGGCAGGATGTTATTGGATTGCCCAAACAATATTATTTAACAGCACCTCTTCAGATGTACCTGGGTTAAAAGAGGGACATGAGAGTAATGTGTCTTGTCTGAAAGCAAAACACAAATAAAAGGGCCCAATTTAAAATGTAACCACTCAATTGTGAGTCCAACTCAGTACTTCACTTATAACCAGGAACCCCACATGCAGCCTTGTGCCCAATATTGCTAACCCCTTATGCAGGTAATAGTGCTGGTCAGGAGTAGAATCTCCTTCTGCTTCTGCAATACTGCACATAACAAATTGAGGGGTGGATACATGATTGACAAATGTTGCACAAAACGTTGCACTGTGCATCCAGGCCTTTACTTTTGACTAATGGATCACTGGCACTTACTAAACTATTGACAACAGCTTTGATTCAATTCTTTATTATGTTCATTTTGAAATTGCTGGTGATCCTTGCAAACTGATTGACTCTCAGCAGTGCAATTCATTCAAGTATTGCACTATTTTTTGCTCTTGGGCACATCTTTTTTCCCAGCAAATGAGAATGGAACACTTTTTGACAAAGTGGCTACCGGATCAATAACTTAAATATGGGTTCTGACCAAACTCCTGAATTTAGGAGATTAAATTATGCAATTTCAAAGTGGATGTAATAAAGTGGATTTTGAACTTCTTGTCAGGCTATTTTGGTTGAAAACATACTTGTGATTTCAAATTTAACTTGGGCTGTGTGCCCATTCAAGTTTGAAATCAGAAGTCTGATTTCAGACCAAATTGCACTCCACTCTGTTCAATTACCATTATTTGTTTAATAAAAAACACACTATAATATAACAAGCCTAAAGTAAATGCTAAGTGCAGTACAACATGTCAAACTCACCAACATGTTCAATGTTAGACAAAATAATGGGTCTAGGTCTCAACGTCTGTAGTTTGACAGATTGTTCATTCATGCCAGGGAGATGACATCCTGAATGATTTTTTCTTATCATTGACTGACTATGCCGCATTCCTCTTGTCATAGTGGTTGCCTTTATTTTCTTTGTCAGGTCAGATGCACTTAACCTTTAATTAAAAGTGAGAAATGATATTACTTTAAGAGGCTGTAGATATTTTTTGCAGTATTCTATCAATATCTATTTCATTAGACTTTCATTCCTTCAAAATAACACAAATATTATAGGTGTGTATTGATGTTAATTAATATCTATTAGTAGAGTTCTACTAGTATATTTATGGGACATGCTTCAATCTGATTACCATTCACTTGTCTTAGACCTCAGAGATAAAGGTCTTTTGTATGGTAGCAGTTGCGATAGTGCTTTGTTCAAGTAGATAAATCTGACATGTAGTATTTGATGTAGATTTTGCCTGCTATCTACACTCAGTAAAAACTATAAGATTATTGATTATGAGAATGGTCTGGAATAGGTTGGTAAAGCCTGGTTCTGATATGCTGCTGACCAACCTGCTGGTTGCAAGTGACAACATTCGGCAATCTGTTCCAGTGGGTCCCTGGCGAATCTGCGATGGATCGCCAAGGAACTCAAATTGGCATGAAATGCAAATCGAATTGTTACGTCATACATTGCGGCCGCAGATGGTCTAGATGATGTTCACATAAAATATTTTCATTGCCGACAATTGCCGACAACCGCTGGCTTGCCTGCAAGGTTGAACTCAGCTCAACTTCACAGGGAAGCCGGCAGTTAATGCCTGGGACAGATTATGATTTGGCGATAAATGTTCACATATGCCCTAGTGGTGTCCCAGGCCGTGCCGGCGGCATATGAGAACCAGTCTTACCTTAGACTATTCAATCTGGAACAGGGTATCTGAAACAGGGTCTCAAATTAGAATTTCTTGGTCTTGTACAGGGTAGGAGTTTTTGCACCCAGCAGCACACATATTTTGGCTAGTACTATATGTTCCCCTCTCACTGACAGATATCTTGAGAGTTGGCCATAAAGACCACAATGGAAATTTCTTACACTTTGTGAATTAAAATTAGATTTAGAATTTTAAAGTTTAAAAGCCAGATAAATGAAGGTAATCTACATTTTATTGTGACAAAAATCATTCCTCTGCAACTGGTCTGTGTTTTTTATCTGAGAGTTTTCAAAGGTCATTAACTGTAACAACAACAATAACAATACAAGTTTTCTGTGTCATACACTTAGCTATTAGGTTGTGATGTCACATGATGAAATGACACATCAGGTATTCCACATAAATTAAAATTAACAGTAAATATTACAATATATGAGTAAACATTCTAAAAAAGTTCACGTCAAAGATCATGTTCAGAGAGAAAGTTCCTTTTTGTCTGTGTGTGTGTGTAACGTCGGATTTAGTGAGACTAACATGGTTTTATTTGTAGCAGCAAACCAAGGTGCTACAAATAGCGACACACGACAATCGACCTCATCGCCTGATGAAGACTAGCAGTATAGCAGTCGAAACGTTGTGATCTACATCTCAAAGTGACTCCATGGTGAGACAAATGAAAGAAAATTCACCTATCCAAGTATTTTAAGTTGGCAATAAGGGAACATCAGCTAATGCACCTTTTACTTGAAGTCTGTTTCTTGTCTACTGTTTCCTCTGAACTCTTGGCTGCATGTAATTTTTGGTGACTGAGAGAGGCCTGTCTGGAACGTGTCTGATGATAATGCCCTCTTCGAGCAACATCTTCAGGTTCGGCATCAACAAACTCATCATCTAACAAATGCTGCAACATTCAACAAGTAACATTCAGATCACTACTAGCACTGTGCTTTTAAGTGGTGAACTTATTATCTTTTATGACAGCCCACTGACATGGCAAAAATTCCATATGGTATTCCATGTAAAAATACCTGTTCAAATACACTTTATAATTATACAAGTCAATTAAAAATGATATCTGTATCATAGATTAAGCTACTTTTAGACTTCAACTTAATCACTAAGGAACTTGTACTTCAGTAATGCCTATGGGATGACATACCTGCACATGACATCCGGCAAAAATAACTCTGTATGTAGTAATATGGAGTATCCCCTGTGCTATATCATCAAAGGTGTCCACACAAGTTACATGATCCTGCTGTGATATGATCTGTTCTCCTGGTAACAGAGGGGGGTGGGTGTAGAACTTTTCATTCACAAAGCCTCTGGAGGGCTGAAAGACCAAAAAAATACACATCAGACACAACAGTAAAGCATCTCAGGAATATGGGATGGATCTAGGGGGTTTGGGGGTTGGTCAAACACCCTTAATAAAAAACACCCTGAGGTATTACAACACCCTGACTCAGCCTCAGAATGGCAGAAATCACATTTCTGAGGACCTTATTTTTAAAGATTCTCTGGGGTCAGAGGCCCCCAGACACTCCTACAGGGGAACGCCATTTGCAGTCCATATCTCGAACACCCTTCTCTAAAATCCTGTATCTGCCCCAGAGAATAATCATTAAGGTGGCTATATATGTCGTGGATTGAGCATTGTTGTACAGTACTGCTCAATTGTGAGTAGACAGTCTTGACTAGAAACTTAATTATTGATCCTCAATACTTTCAAAAACTGAGAATGATTTTCAAGGTTTGAGTTTCAAGACACCGAAAGATATTTACAAGGAACACATAACTTACAATGGCAATGAACAATAGGCCTCAAGAATGGCCTCCTTCAGTAATTATAAGTTACGAGTTATATACTCAGTACATTCATGACAGTAAATTTTGTACCTTTGTCCAAATTGTTGGTATGAAGTTCAAGGTTTTTATGATCACAGTTGTAGGAAAAGATTGAAATATATTTGATGTTTCAAAGATAAACAACTCCTAAGGTACTTTACTCATATGTTCACTACATTTAATCTTGTGAAAAAGTAATTGAGAAATAAGCTCTTTGTTTCCTTGACTTGAAACTCAAACAACTTGACTTGAAACTCAAATGACTCAGCTCTAAACATGAATGACTCAACTTGAACAACTCAACTTGAAAATAGATAGATATACTTGTAATTAAAATTATTATTACAAATTATTATTAACTGCAATTACACATATGAGATCTAATAATTATATTGTAATTTATTTGTAAAATGCTGATCTCACTGATACCCACTGAATGAAAAAGTATATAGTTTTTATATAGCTTGTAAGTTACTTAAAGGGAGACTACATTGTAAAAACCTGTAAGGGTCTCTTAGGTCTTCCTCCCAAAACAATTTTATATGTAGCACTACACATTGTGTACTTTTAATTATGGGAAATAAATAAACAAACATAAACAAATCAAACAACTTGACTCAACACCTGATAGTTTTTGAGTTTCAAGGATCAAGCTGAGTCATTTGAGTTGACCGCCAACATACATTTGACCATTACCCCTAACTATATTGTAAGCATTTTCTATAGAATTTACATTGTAGCTTTACATTGCTTCAGAGATGCACGCAGTGTGCAAGCACATACATGTAACTAATCTTGTAGGGAAAAAACATAATCACCAGGACTAACAGGTTGCATGACTAATGATCATCTTCCAAGTTAAGCTATTAAATGTAGTGGGAAATCATTGGTCTATTTGAGAAACAATAAATTAGGGATTACGGGTATTATATACGCTAACAGATCAGCCTGATTTTCTCGACTGTTTGCCACAGCCATGAGTACCTAGCCATGAGTGGAAATTAGAAAAAGTCCGATCTGTTCACAAGTACAATACTATTAATCCCTAAATGTTTTGAGCAAACAATAAATAAAAATATGGCAACTGTTAATAATTTTTATGAGCTTCTATCAGAGAAACTAACGACTTTTGTTAAGCCACACTGTGATTAAATATTTTAGTTTTCTAACATCAAATTTCTCAACATTTTTTGCCAAAGTTCTTCATAAAATAATTTCTTTCATTTGCAAATGAGCCACAAAGACGAGCAAGTCCTAAGTGCGACTGATATAATTAAAATTTAATTGTTGAGCTATTAATGTAATCTGGGATAAATTATTGTACCACTTTCAACCAATCAGAAGTATATGGTACTAGCAGTATTGTTAGTAGGTATAAAAAGTCTGACAACATTCAAGTTTTCAAGACAATATTTCTTTTATGTGTTGTAGTTGATGATGTTCTGAGGCATTACAATCTGTCTGCTTTAAAAAGAATGAACATGATGCAAATGTTACAGTTTTTGAATGAAAGGTGATTAAGACATCAGGAAAACATCAGACATGCACAAGTACCACTGTGGTGTGCAGTATATTTTTTATGCATATAATATTGACGAGGTGTCCCAAAAGTTACCAAGGTTAAGAAGAAAAAATAGTTTTACTCTGATCAGTGATAAGACACAAACAGTTGAAAGAAAAATGATCCATCACAGACACAATAATGGTTATCATGATAGTGATTTTGCATGCTGAAACAGGTTAATTAGAACATGTCACGCAGACAAGGTTCAAGCTTCAAACTCAGTGATTCTTGAAATTATTCTAAAAGGCAAGGCAAATAACTTCTAAACAAACGATACAATTGTAGGAGCAATTATGAAATCTGGACTAAATATTTTATCACCTTAGTACAGCATTCCTCAACTTCACGTAAATAACACTTGAATCCCATACTCCTCATTTTCATTTTACACAACTCGGAACAAAAATGAAGCAAAACTTTGATCTTCCTGCACATTGACAAAAACATAATTTGTCTGGAAAATTATGTTCAATTCCTAGTTTCCACATCATTTTAACTAAACATTGTTAAAGATCTGTAATTAACATGTTCCAAATAACCACACACAGGTTATTTCCCATGTTTTTCCAAACCTTAGCGGAAGACCAAATAAGGATATTGATTACACAAGACTAGGATGTCAAAGATTACAAAGGAAACAAGACAATCACAACAAAATCTTGTGACATCAGCTTTAAGATGTAAGCTTAAGTGCTGATAACCATGATTCAAAAAAAGGTCAACCATGTGTCGAGTTGTAGAAAAGTGAAATGTACATGTAACTTCTTTAGGTGATTGAAGCTACAGTGTATATGAATAATTTAAATTCAAAATGAAACTACGTTTTGAACTGCTTTTTATGTCTCATAAATTATTTCATCAAGATACTTAGTGTTTAATAGCATTACAACTATTTGTTTTCCTTACATTGGTAAATTACGTAGACACATTGCATTATAGAACAGTTGTTACTGTTGTTGAGAAAAGATTCTAAATAAATGATCAATTGGTTTATCTTTGGCTACTTCAACTACCTTGTATTTAGAATAAATTTGGTTTTGCATGTTTGAGGTCAATTAGAAATTGAAACTGGATTGAAACCAAAAACCAATTTAACCATAGCATGACTTGTATATTTATAGAACACGTCACGTTGTCTGAAAACTACAGGAAGTTTTACTTTTTAAGTGTCACAATTGCTAATATTATATTTTACTCCGTCATCATTAAAAGTTACAAAACCTCTAGATGTCAAAAAAATGCTTCAGTTATGAAAACTCAAGTTTATCACAAACAGCACATAATAAATTGGGGCAACTAAGGTCTTATATACCTTTTCCTCTGGATATCCATGATTATATGCATGGGATAGAAATTAGAAACTGAAACTTTTACTATTGCTGAAACACAAATATTTACTTTTTCTACATCTACAAACATCATGCTTCTTAACCTTTCAGATTGCCAAAGGAATCTTAAAGGAAATGTTAACTGGTTTTGTAAACCTGAAGAGAGGAACTTTTGAGAACAGGGCAACTATAACCAAACATACATGTACAACTGTTTTTTTTGTTTGTTTTTTTTTTTCAATTTTGAAACAGTTCCCCAGTATGGCCATAATGTGAACTAAACCTTTGAGCACCACATGTAATTTCCTGTAGTACTGTCTCGTAACTTTTTTCGTGGCTATATACACAAAAGAGGTATTCTTTCAGTTTACACACAAAAACTGACAACAGGAACTTGGAAAGCAAAACTGGAACTTGTCAAAACCTCAAATAGAACTTGGCAACTTGCTTGAGCAAAATTCCAATTGAGATTTAATTGCAAGTTACTTGACGAGCAAACCGCCAAACATTCTTGAACAGTGTACTGTAATATGACAATTTGCATGGAAAAAACAAAAGGTATGACAAAAGGCAGGTTGATAACAATACATAAAATATTTGATTTACTTAATGTTATTAATTCTATTAATGGTTTGTGTCCTGGACTCAGGGTTGAGTAGTTTATTTGCTAGTAATGGTTCTTCTGTAAGACACTTAACTCTCACAGTGCCACTCTCCACCCAGGTGTATAAATGGGGTACTGGGAAATTTAATGCTGGAAGTAAACAAGAAATGGACTAGCATCCCAACTAGGGATAATAGAAATATTCCTGGTTGTTTTGTTATCATTAAACTGGAGACATGTGCCGGCTTTACTATGCCTACCTACACACATACGTCAGGGTATCCAGACGTAAAACTATTATTATAAGTACTGCTTGTGCCAGAATGAATAGAAGACCGCATAGGCCTTTCACTGAATCATCGGGAAGTACCATCAGACAACTGGGTGAGGGTTTAACACTCTGGAGACCCTCCCATGCCCTGATATAACATTTTTCACAATGGAATCCTGATTTCTCAAACCTCTGAGGGAAATAGAAATTGGCTGACTTGCAGAAATGTCAGGGACTAGGGTGAAAGAGATTTCCTGAGACTCTACAAACTAAATGCCATTCTGAGATGGCATTACCACATTATATTGGTGGCTGATAGGAAAAAATATACTCCTGAATTGGGCTCTAACTGATTATTTGTGCTTCAACCTCGATGTGATTTCTTTAGTTTTAGTCCCCAAAGCCACAGTGCCATAGCGGCCTACTGTACCCTGTTAGAAAAT